CTCAGCTCGGCTCCCCTGCGGTCCGCGGGCAGCCTCAGTAGTCAAAGACGCGGGCGGCGGGGCAACAGGACACTCCCCCCCGGCCCCCGCCTTGGGCCCCACCCGGCCGCACCCGAGGCGCGCGGCGTCACCGGGCGCATGCGTGCCGCGGGGGATGCCGGGAGCGCGCAGTGGCGGCAGCGGCGGCGACGGCAGTAACAGCGGCGGCTACAGCGGGGACGCGAGCGGGGCGGTGACCGTGTGGGAGGTGGTCTCACTCTTGGGGAAGCTGCTGGGCACTGTCGCCGCGCTGAAGGTGGTTCTGTACCTGCTCCGGGTGTGCTTAGCGATGGCCTGGAAATCCGGCGGCGCCAGCCACTCGGAGCTAATCCACAATCTCCGCAGTAAGTGCTACCTCCGCCCGGTGTGGGGCAGCCAGGGCAGGCTGGGCCTGGACCGGGTCCCCCTGGGCCGTCCAGAACGTTCTGTTTACCCCCTCCCCCAACACCGTGCCTGTTGGAGGGCTTCGGCGGCGCCGGGTTGGACCAGTAGTCCCGAACGGCGTGCGCTTGCAGTCGCCTCCCCTGGGACCTGTCACTGGTCGGCGACGTGGACAGGAAAGGGAGAGAGAGATTCAGGGGCCGCCGCTGGTGGGGCAGGGGCAGTCGTCCCCCTGAAGGCTTGGGGGGAGGGGGCGCGGCACCAGTGGCGGTGCTGTCACTCGAGTCCGCCGTCCCGGTCCGGCATGCGAGGGGCGTGCCTTCGGGGTGGGGATGTGTGGGCTTGGCCTGCTAGAGACTGGGCTGGCGCTGAGGCGACCCCACCCTCGCACCCCGCGTTTTCTCACCTTCCCACTCCTTCATAATCAACCTTGCTGCAAGCTCTCCCTCTTATGCTGCCTCCCCCGCCCTCCGTTTTTTCCTGTGGAGGGAGATGCCACCGACTGATACAGGCGAGGGGAGGGAGAGGAAGATGAGAGTATTGCCATTGCAGATGCTGGGAGAAATTTCTCGGGCGGCTGTCCAGTGGAAAGCTCCGTGGGGGGCGGAGAAAGAATCAGGGGATGCTGTTCCCAAGAGACTTGTCTTTCAGGAGCCCTTACGGGTCCTGGATCCAGCAAACGGTCGTGTGTGGCAATTTTCTAACTTTTTTCAGGGCTACCATAGGCTTTAAAAACCTCGTGTGGAAGTTTCTTTATAGTATTCCTTTTAATTGTTGTATTCCTTCTTTCGATGATAATTTTAGGGTGGGATGAATGCTGTGTCATTCTCTTTTTTTAAATAGAAATTTATAGAAAGACCGATGTCTGTAATAATCTCTCTCTGGACAGAATTTATAACAGCCTCTTTGCCACTAACTTTGCAATATTCATATTCTGCCACGTGGTATTTTTAATTGTCCTGTGTTTTTTAGCTTTTCATGTGTTTGTCTTATCTCCCAACTCTATTTGTCACCATCTTCAGGACTGGGACCATTAAAAAAATTATTTGAATCATTTCAAAAAACTTAGTTCTCATTCCTTTTTTCATAAATGCTAATTAAGTGTCTATTATATGCCTAGATTTGTGTTAGGAATACAAACATGAATGAGAGAAATAAGTAGTACTTTTTGGCATATGGTTGGTACTTAGTATATTAGACATTTTGACTTTTTTGAACAACACTTAAAATATGGAAGTTATTTCTCTAGTGTTTCATAATGAAGAATATTTAGATGTTAAAATTTTATCAAGCACTGCTAGGTTCATTTTATGGAATACATTTGACTGGAAGTGGACATTGATATACTGAGATAGTAGTATGAAGTAGGATTTAGGTTCCTATGGATTGCACATAAGCTCAATATGTTGTATAAAATTCCTTAACGTGATCTAAGTGCCTGCTATTGCAGTATCTATACCTGAAACATTCTGTACATGAATTGTGATTAAGTAATTTTCCACCGGTAGGTTATCACAGTAGACTCTTGGCTGTGGTAGGAATTTGTAATCAATCAGGCTCTTAAAGTCTCTCCTTTTTGGGCCAAAGTGTAGTAAGCCAGGGCTAGATCTTTTCCCAGTGGTTTTATAATCACTTTAATGTATTGGATTACTGTTCTTAGCTGAAATTTCTAAGGATGTTTTTCTGTCAGAAAGTTTGATACAGAATATTTAACATACATGAATGTTGATATTGCGACTAGTTTTATACTAGATCTATGCTTGGTAAGAGAAAATTAGGCAAGTTGTTTAGCCTCTTTTGTAACACTTATGCAAATTTAGTTTCATCTTCTTGCTGAGGTAATTCTAGCTAATAGATTTCTTTTAATTTATTAGCTTATTAATAATATTTGCTCTTGTGAAAATTGCAAATGACGCAAAATTTGAAAACATTGCCTTCCTTCCTTGTTACTCCACTATGTGTATTCTTTCGAAGTTAAAAGGGCTTTTTTGTTTTGTTTGTTTTTTTTGAGTTAGAGTCTTACTCTGTTGTCCAGGCTTGAGGGCAGTGGCACACTCACAGCCACTGTAGCCTTGGCCTTCTGGGCTCAGGCGATCCTTCTGCCTCAGCCTTCCAAGTAGCTGGAACTCCTTGAGGTCTCACCAAGTTACCTGGGCTGGTCTCGAACCTGTGGGCTCAGGCAATCCACTCGTCTTGACTTCCCAAAATGCTGGGATTACAGACTGAGCTACTGAGCCCAGCCTTAGTAAAACGGTTTTTGTTTGTTTGTTTGTTTTGTTTGTTTGTTTGTTTTTTGAGTTGGAGTCTCACTCTGTCGCCCAGACTGAAGTGCAGTGGACGCTCCCAGCCACCACAGCCTCCACCTGTTGGACTCCGGCGATCCTTCCGCCTCAGACTTCCAAGTAGCCAGAATTACAGTCATGCGCTACCACACCTGGCTGATTTTTTTGATTTATTGTAGAGATGAGGTCTCGCTGCCCAGGCGGGTCTCGAACCCGCGGGCTCAGGCAGTCCACTCACCTCAGCCTTCCAAAGGCACAAGATTACAGGCTGAGCCAACGAGCCCGGCTTTGAGTACCTTCTATATGTCAGGCACTGGGAATACAGCAGTGAACAAAACACACACCCATTCCCTCTTATCGCTTCTAATGGGAGCAGCCAAGTAAAATATATAGAATGCTATATGGTATTAGGTGACAAAAGAAAGGAGAATAAAGAGGTTGAGCAGAAGGTTTGTAGTTATAGAAGAAAAGCCCTCACCAGTTTCATGTGAGCAAAAGTATGGTGGAGGGGAAGAACTAAACTATGCAGACAGAGCTGGAAGACAAGCATTACAGGCAGAGGAAACAGCAAATGCTAGACTTGAACCTGGGGTGTGGGAGAAGATTGGAGGCAAGGATATGACACTGGGGTTTTAGGCCTTAGCAGCTGAAATGATTTGCAGTTTTCCAAGTGGGAAATAGGTGAGTGAGCATTGGGGTTTTGTTTGGGGGGAGGCAGTGAATATGGGAGTTTATTTTGAAGAATGTTAGATTCTTATAAGACAAAGTAGATATGTTTAGTAGGCATTTGAATATGTAGGAATTATAATGATTTATAATGGTTTTTGTATCCTAAAGCCATTTATTTTTACAAATACATTGGAATTATTTTCTTATTTACCTTTATAGCATTCGTTCTTCACTACTAGTAGTATAGCTACTGGGAAAGAGCATTTAGTCTTAATATTCCATTACTTTTGTATATACATGGGACCAATACAACCATCTAGTAAAATCCTAAGAAATTGGGACTTCACTTAGAATCCAGAAAATATCTCCTCATTGTAACTTATTTCAAGTCAATCTTATGGATATGTACTAGTAAGTAAACTTATAGTGCGTTGAATAAGATTTAGTGTCTATGATTTTTTGGATTTTAATATTAGTGTGTCTACTTAAATTTAAATAAATTAAAACTAAATAAAACTAATAAAACGAAACACTTAGTTCTTCAGTCATACTAGCCACATTTCAGGAACTCAATAGCCGTATGAAGCTGGTGGCCACCCAGTTGGATAGTGCAGATAGAGAACACATCACAGAAAGTTCTGTTAGATTGCACTAGATCTAAATGCTGGTTGTACGACATTCAGTTTATTGTGATCTTGGGCTGTAGGAGGGGAAAGATTCTATTGTGCTATTGTAAATATTTCTATCAGTATTGCATTGAACTTTGGCTAAATGCTTTAAAGGTGGCAGTGAAGAAGGATGATCAGATAAGGATGATGAAGATAACAAGAGGGTCAGCATTTTATATGGTGCTTTCACAGGTTTGAGGTTGTTTGGTTTAGCACAGAGAAGGCTTTAGGGAGCAATGATGTTTAAGTATTCGAAGAAATGTCATGTAGTAGAGGGTCAAACCAGGACAAATGGGAGGCAGATTTTGGCTCATTATAAGGAAGTATTCACAAAGCTATCCTAACAATCAGAGTTGGCTTTTAAAAAGTGTTTTCTGTCACTGAATATGTTGAAGCAAAGAATGATTGACCATTTCACTGTAAGGGATATTGTAGAAAGGGTTTTGTCATCAGATTTGAATGTGCAGTAGATCTCTAAGGACTTTTCCAGATCCAAGATTCTTTGAAGTTTATTGACATTATGGATTGCATGAAATCAGTTGTAGTGGGGGGGAGTGAGGTTTTTTTTAGTTGAAGTTTCACTCTTTCACCCAGGATGGCGTACAGTGGCACACTATCACAGTCTTGACCTGCTTAAGCTCACGCAATCCTTCTGCCTCAGCCTTCCAAGTAGCTGGGGCTACAGGTGTGCTACCATGCCTGCCTAATTTTTTGATTTCTTATAGAGTCGAGGTCTCACCAAGTTGCCCAAGCTGGTCTTGAACCCCTGGGCTCAGGCAATCCTCTTGCCTTGGCCTCTCAAAGTGCTGGGATTATAGGCATGAGCTACCATGCCCAGCCAGAAGTTACATTTTTAACATTAACTTTGAATGTTTTTAGAGTTTTACATAGCATTTTAGTTTTTCAGAGATATAAAGGAATCCAGGGAACATATCCTTCTTTGAGAAATAGCATCAAATTTAGGTATCAATTAAAAGTGAACAAGATACACAGAAAGATATATATTTTTAAGTAATTGCTGGTACTTAGATAATATGCTTTACTATAACTTGCCATCACAAAGTTCTTCTTTGATTATAGTAGGAATTTAAAATTTATCCCTTTTAGACTTTCTGTACTGAAAGAAGTACAGAAAATACTTTAGGAGTTGTCCTAAACTCTGCTTAGCACCCATCATGCCTAATCATTCAGGATGGGAAGAAAAAGATGAAAGTTTTGTTAATTTTGTATTGTTTTCCCAGGTGTGTTGTTAGCAGAGAAGAAATACAGGGTAAATAACTAACAGCTATTCAAGTCTTATGAAGTAATATAATAAGGTAACATTTCTTTTACTGAGATGTAACT